GGTGTTGATTGTTGATGATTTTATAAGGAGTTTGTTTTGGTGAAAATGAAACTCTAAATGAAAACAAAGTCTTAATGATAAAATTCCATATCATAACAAAATTTTTATTTTAAAGGGATTTGTTCATGTTATTTGCTTGATAATCTTCAGAAGAGCCTAAGATTTCTGATTTATCCTTTTTTTGTAAATTCAATTTTTGTTTTCTTTTTTAATTTAAATTTTTATGATTTTTTAATTTTTTAAATAACAAAAAAATATAATATAATATAATATAAATAAAATAAATAAAATTGAACTCCTTATCTCGGGCTTCAAACCTACACCAAAACAAATTCAATTTTAAATAAGCTAACTAAAGCTCAGTTAGCATTTTACTAGCTCATAATATTAATGGATCAAAACCTTGAAAGTAATCATATCAAAATTATTATGGATAAAATAAAATGTCTACATCTCATATAAAAGGATCGATACCCTCTTTAGAAGGATTGATTTCTAGTCTCTAACGATCAAAATTTAAATTTTGAAGTAAAATGATTGATCTTCTAAGGTAAAGCTGGCAAAAAGATACTTTGCATCAGTTATAATTTTATTATCCTTATATCTCTAAATTTTTATTATTTTATGTATATATTTTTTTGGACATTTCAATTCATCATAACATTTGTTCACAACAATGCCAAACACTTAAAATTTTAAACATATTTTTCTCACCACTTTTAAACACATTTTTCCAACCCAAAATTTTTTCAACCACATCAAAAAACTGAATTAGGCCTTGATGCATTGAAAGAAAAAAAAAAGAGCTAAAGAGTAAAGAATGTGAATATGAATATGCCCAAATTGAAGAATCAAAGGTTAAAAAAGTAAAGAATAAAGCATAAATGGCTTTTAAAGTTGAAGTCTTAAAGAGTTAAAGTGTTCCAGATGAGAACAATAAAGTAGCAAATGAGCAAGCAAAAGACATAGGAGGTAAGCAGTAGTAGTTGGAATACAAGGAAAGAATGAAAGAAAAAAGTTAGAAGTGAAGAAAAAAAAGGAGAAAAAAAAAGGTGCCCTAAGTTTCAAAATAAATGTTAAACTTGACAATTTCAGATACGATATAGTAATACGTTACTAAAATGACATGCAAAAAACAATGTGTTTTAAAAAACATGTTTTATATTTATTTGTGTCAACATAAATTTCGACATGATACAATTTGTGTCTTATATGTATCGACATGTCTAAACATATATACGACACAATTCGTGTCTTATTTATGTTGATACATTTAAATACATATAAAATACAAAAAATATGTTTAAATAAAATGTGTCACATAGAAACATATTTGATATGTGAGACGACACGACATGAAAACATAGTTAACATAATTTTTTATATTTATTTTAATGTAATATAAACATATGCAAGTTATTTTAATTTTTAATTTTTTAATTATGATACCTAATTAGCTATTTAATATACTATATAAAAATTATTTTAAACATTTAATTATGATACTGATTTAATAATTATTATAAAATTATTTTTATATTAATAATATAAATACAATATAAATAATAATATTAGTACAATACATCATTATTTTATTATTTAATCTTTAATAGTTTATCATTTTGGATTTAGTACTAAAAATTAATATAGTTATGTATAAATTTATAATTGTTACATTAATAATGTATACATTAAAATTTAAATAATATATAATATATGTTAAATGCATATTAAACGGATATCAATTTTTTATATTTTTAAATAAGCAAGTATTTTTTATATTAGTAATGTATATATAATATATACATTTTTACATATTAAATATATATTGTTCTTTGTAAATTTTTATAATAAAGCTAAAAAAATAGTTTTTTTATTAAAAAAGAATTTAGAAGGACAAATATACTCTTAATTGTTAATAACAAGTAACATCCAACAATATAATCATTGATAAAGTAAAGCAAATCCAAATCATATAAATATACAATAATATATTTTAATGATAATAAATAACATTTATAATGATAAGAAATTATATTGTCATCTTAATAACATGAATTATGATGTACGATTATTTTAAATTATAAGAGTTAAAATAAGAGAATATACATTTGAAATTAAAAATAATGCATATTCTAAATAATATGTCTAATGATAAAAAAATTAAATAATTTATTTTATATTACATGATACAATGCTATTAAATTGTCACTTATAAATAATTGTTATTTTTTGATTACTTTAAAGCTAGTAGATTGATATGCCTTGAATTGGATATGATGTTTGATGATATGTAGCTCCTATTTATTCATGTATATTAGTGTTATTCATATTTATTCTTATATATCAATGTTATTCATGTTTATTCATGTATATTAGTGTTATCAGTGTTATTTATATTAATCATGTCGTGTAACATGTAACACGTATAATAAATATGTCATGTTCGTATTTAAGATTTAAATACATTTTATAATTTATATCGTATTTATATTTTAATAATTTATGTAATTACATGTGCCAAATATAACATGAAACACGATACAGAAATATAAATTATCATGTATAATATAAATGTATAGTTAATGACATTGGGCTTGCATATATAATTTCTTTGCATTTTAAGGATCCATTTCAAATTGGGTTGAAAAAAAAAAAAACTTATAAAATTTGGTTTAACCAGTTTTTGATTCTAGACCTTTTTTCCACATTTTTTTTTCGGTTCTCAAGAGTCAAAATCTCGATTTAATACATGTATTTGGCAGTAACATATAGTTTATAATTATTGTAGTGTAATTAATTAATTATAATTTAGTATTGTGTAAGGTTTATAACAAAATTATATAGAACTTATATTTTTAAATGGTAAACTTTTACACGGTTTTTATTATAATTAATTATTTTAGTATTGTAATAAAAATATTGTATATGATATGTATCTGTATTTTGACAAGAAATCCTATCAATTCTCGATTTAATTTGTTGAACCGGTCAGTCCGATCAAGATTTCTAATCATTGTGCAATATTAGGAAATGATATTATAAAGGGGTGGATGGACCATAAACCATAAGTTGACAAACTCATGTAAATAGATAATAATAAAACCAAAAGTTAGATGATGAATAAAAAATAAAAAAATAAAAAAATATATATATAACGAGTTTTTTTTTAGAGATCGCTACTTGCAAATATTTAAAAATTTCTTTAACTTTTTTTTTTTTTTTTTTTTTAACGAGGGATAAGCAATCCCACTCTTCCTTTAGGTATGAAAATTTTAAAGTACCACTTTGTATTATTTTTTTATTTTCTCCATACATTTTCATAATTGTTACTTATCTTTTTATTTTGTGTTTTAGTTACATTTTCAATACTAAAATTATTATTTCAGTCAAGTGACGCACCTCAGAATCATTGCAATAAACATTTGGAAATGTTACGAAAAAGTAAGAGTGAGCAAAAATCAGTTTAACCGACATGATTGATAGAAACTAATTAAATTTGATCAAATCAATTTGATTCATTTGATTTCGGTAATGATTAGTTAAAGAAAATGGTTTAATGATTAATTTGGTCGATTTTTTATATCTAAAATTAATAAATCAAATCGATTGAATTAATTATTTTTTTAATAATTTTTAAAGAGAAAAAATTAATTTACACTAATGTATTTTTTAAAATTTTTAATCAAAATTACTAAATTTAAAAATATTATTTTGATTTAAATGAGTTATGAATTTAATTGTGATTCAAATATATAAAAAAAAAGAGTTACATTAATATAGATAAACTCTTACTTTTTTTAAATATATTTATATGATTTAAATATATATATATATATAAATATTTTTATTTATATTTTAAGAATAACAAATATGACATTAAGATAAAATTATAAAATGAATTTTATTGGTTGAAATATGTTACAAAATTATTGTTCAAAATGCAAAAAAAATAATGAAAATTTTTAATTTTTTGATAAAACCAATCGTTCTATTTTAGTTTGATTATCTTCAATTATTAATTTTAGTTTGATTATCTTCAATTATTAAAAATAGATTGATTGATTTTGATTTTTCTATCGGATGGATTAATTCGATTTTGGATTTTTCATCATGCCGATTGAATTGATGAATACTCACCCATATGAAAAATCATGAACCTTAGAAATTTTAAGCTAACACCGAGAACAAAATGCTAACAAGCTCGTAACAGGGAAGGTAATTCAGTCTAAATTCATTGAGTTCTGATTCAACTCGATTGTATATGATTATTTTTTTTTAAATTGAATTATAAATCAAATCGGGTAATAAAAAAAGTAAGATCAAATTTTAAGAAAATCCACCCGACCCTATATATATGTATAAAATTTTATTTATTTATTTAATTATATATATTTATATTTAAAAATAATATATTATTAATTTAAGATTGAATCTGATCAATTTTATATAACAACGAATCAAGACAAATTCCATATAAAAAAATTATCAATTGAATCAAATTTAAATATTATAAATATAAAATAAAATCAAATAAAAATGATAATTCAATCTGAATCCATCAAGTTTTGATCCAATTCAATTTTATAAGATTAATTTTTTTTTTTTAAATCAAATTATGAATCAAATCGAATAATAAAAAAAGTAAAATCAAATTTTAGAGAAACCTACTCCAACCTCATCTATATATAAATATTTTTTATTATTTATTTAATTATATATATTTATATATTTATTTAAGTTTATATTTATATTTTAAAAATTATTTTATATTTAAAAATAATATTTTATTAATTTTAAATGAATCTGATTAATTTAATATAATGATAAATCAAATCAGATTTGATATAAAAAATTTTATCGATCAAATTAAATTCAAATATTATAAATATAAAATCGATTGAATTTGAGGTGAAACACCCCACCCCTCCCCGGGCAACCCATTACCATCCCTAGCTGATAGTTTCTTGGTTTTCTTTACATTTACTCGTCCTCTCCCAATAAACTGAAATACGAAGGTATGTATTAAGCCCAATAAGCAAGTTGCAGTTACAGACATCCGGTGTCCCCTTTCCATTTGAACGATTGGGCACCATCCCATGGAATGGATACACACAAGTACGATAATCATTTTAAAGCAGGTATGGTTATCTTCGATGGGAATATTTTACAAGTGAAAGATTGGGAAGAAAATTAGGTGGACCTAACAGTATCGATGGCAAGAACCAGGTCTTCCAATTTGGCTCCTGTAACCTCCTTTACAATTTTCTTGTGCTTCAGAATCTTGAAAGTGGGAACCACCCTTATGCCAAGCTCCTTTGCCAATGGCTGCCAAATCATTGCAAAATCCGTCGTGTGAGAGTTTGAGAATGTTTCCTAGAGTGTGTTTGTGTGCATTTCTGTTGATCAGTTCGAATAAGTTCATGCTTTTATTCATCTGCAAAGTTATGCTATATGCATAACTAAATCTGGGAATTTTAAATACAATATAATGATATGATAATAAAACGATAAAAAATAAGATAAGAAAATGATACAATTTAAAATTTTAACAAGAATTGTATATGAGTTTGGCTAAAACAAAAAATGCATTTTGTGTTTGACATGTCAACATGAATTTGAAACGATAATTTTCATGTTTTACATGTGTTGGACAGACAAAAACACAATACAGATACATGAATTGTCCAGCCTATGTGCAACTAGATGATTGCAAGTCTCGTTTTTTAGTACCATAATAAAAAAGACCATGACAGAAACATTGTCTCCCTTTAAAACACTATGTGGTTGCTAAGTCATTGAAACCCACATGATTTACACATCCTCAAACAGTTGAGATAACTAATTGAATTGGAATTATATTTTCATACCTTGTTTTCTTGATTGCAATCAAGCTTTAGAAAGACAACATCAAGATACTTCTCAGACAATTCTTGAAACCTGGGAGCTATCACTTTGCAAGGACCACACCTAAAACATTCATACAAGTTACGTAAATAAATTTGATGCATCTAGAATTTAGAATCCATAAATCCCAAAACCAGTTTTTCCGGCTTGGGCAAGTAATGGCGCAAATCTTAACCTAAATCTTCTGGTTGAATTGCAAAATGTTTGTATGTCGATTCAACTAAGCCTTGGGAATGAGCAAATGCATCAATTTCTTTATATTCCACTCAATTTAAAAGCCAAAAAAATTACTTAAAATATTCAGATATAAAAACTTTCCTCAGTTCTTCAGCATAATATCTAACTTAACTGCTTTTTCATTTGCTATAGCGAATCACTGTTCTCTGGCAACTCAATCAATTAATCAATCTATATCCTTCCACTCATTTTATCCAATGCCCAGCTTGTTATTAGATCTTAATCAGTTACTAGTTTTATTAAAAGAACATCTTCTATGTTACAGTTGACGCATCTTACAACTTATAATAATGCATGAAACATATTCTCCGTTACTTTGAGGGGTGAAATTCAGTGTAAGCTTTACATTTGGTTCAATTATCAATGGAAGTATCCTTGGCTCCAAGAGCCTAATTCCACTCCTTCCCCAAAATAAAAGGGAATGGAAGTGTCCCTATACTCAGTATATCATCTACAATTAAGGATCGCAATTCATAATTGCAATTGCGCAGAGCCTATCAACATTTTATATAGACTAGTGAAACCTATATAATTCTTTATTTTAACTAATTGTAAGATGGTAATAAAAAGAATTATAGGCCAATCGCACTCAATATTCCTAGACTGCCGCATTTTTGTAAAAAAGAAAACAAAAGTCATCTCTCACATAGACATATCTGTCCATTTTAATGGAATTATCCATCCATCCATCCAATAAATGATCCAATTAAAACTATTGAATTACAAGAGGTTTGGAATTTAAGTAAAAAGAATGGAGACAAGTTAAGGACCAAAATGAAACTTTTCAACTGGTTGAACTTTAATGCATTTCCCTAGTCCCCAAAATTTATTTTCCAAAAATTTAGATTTGTTTTTTTTTAAGTAAGAACAAACTACAAAAGTTAGTAAAATAGCCAACCGCAAACACGACCTCAACTAAATTCTTACATCACACTAACGGAATACCTACGTATAACGTAATATACGTCTAAGTAGAAACAACAGTCAAGGTACATGTATTTGTATACGTACCATTGAGTGTACATGTCGAGGACGACGGTTTTATCCCCGGCGGCGTTAACGATGGGCCAGAAGGTGTCCTTTGTAACCTCCGTCACCTTTCCCACCGTTGCTGCCGTGTCCAAGCTCGACCTCACCTTTAAGACAGCGCCGTTACGTTTATTATTCTTAGTTCTCGAAATGGATTTAACGGTCTTTAACGACGACGATTCTAATAAGAAGCAGGATTTTGAAGTGGAAGAAACTCTACAGAAGGCGGCGGTTGGGTGTGCCTCGGTGCATGATAGTGACGACGAAGAACGACCGGCCGACGGAGGAGAGACGGAAAGTTGGAGGAGCAACATATTTGAGAAATATGAAAATTTGAAAAAAAAATGGAAAAATTAAAACAAATTCCTGTGGCTGGAAAAAGCAGTGAGTTGCGGGGGGGAAGGAAAGAGTGAATTTATAGAAAACCACGGAGATATTTTATTTTGGAGCATAAAAACGATTTTACCCCTGCAAATTGAGAATTCTAATGATTATATGAGGGTATTTTGGTCATATAGAGAAATTTTGGTAGGATAATGAGAGGTGTAGGATTTGGGCGAGCAGCGACAGTGAAAGATGAGGAGGATTTCATTTTGGAGGTGAAATGACGATATTAGACGTCGCATATTTAACCTGAACTTCCCGAAGTATGTATAAGTGGGGGTGTTTTTTGTCATTTAATTGATTTTTATGGATTCCAAAGCTTACAATGGCCACATAAATAAGAGGATGAATATACAGATATATATATATATATAATATTTAAAGTTTCAATTAAATTGCTAAACGAGTAGATCCTTTCACCGGTTGGTTAATACTTACTTAATAGCCGTCTTGAGTAAGGATTTTTAAGCTTCCGTGGAAATGTTTTATTATAAAATAATTTTTTATTAATTTAATTTTAGAATAAATAACATGGATAATATGAGTTTAAATGGATCGGTCCTGGTCCGTAAACTTCTTTACTAATAAGCTCTATTAAGTAATTTAAATGAAGAAAACATTATATAAATTAAAACAAAAAGTTAAAGGGATACACTTATTAAAATATATTAAAAAAATAATTCAATATCTATATTGATCAAATTTTGTATATAAATATTATTTTTATATTAAGTTTTCTCGTATTATTAAGACTAAAAATATGCACATCCTTAGTGAAACAGAAATAATTATGTTAAAAAAATATTTTTGAAGAAAAAAATAACTTAAGTACTAAGAATTACGTAAAGAGAAATAGGGATTTTTAAATAAACATGTAAATTTTTAAAAAGAAATATTATTTAGAAATTTGAAAGACATGAATACTTTTATTTTATTATTTGATATTATTTTTTTTTGTAGTTTTTACCAGTAAGTTGACTTCACTAAGTCAATCAGGTAGTATAAATACCCACAATATTTAATTAATGTTTTGTTTTTTAATAAATAATTTGATGAAATTTAATTGTGGAAAATTATTAATTTAAATCAAAATTTCATATGGTTTGGACTGTACAATTAAATTTTTAAAATAAAATCACAAAATGAAATATGATTAATTAATGATTTTTCTTTTTCTTAAAAATTTTACCCTTTATCATAAAGAAATAGTAAGCCAAGTTAGGTCAAAGTCATATTCGGTTGTGTATTTTGGAGATTTAAAAAAGAGTGATATCATAAAAATTTTATAAAAAAATCTAAAAAAAAAATTATTTAAAAAAAATAACAAAATCTAAAATTAATAATAAAGAAATTGAAAGTATAACCTTAACTCTTATTAAACAAAGAAAAAGAATAAAGCTCCTTGTGGTTTTCCATCTCTATCATCATTCTTTACATTGTCTTTTTTTTTTCTTTTTTCCTCTTTAAAATTCTCTTCCCTCAAGTCGCTCAAGTCATAAGATGGAAAATCTCTCTTTATTTTCTCTTCTTTTCGATCCACCTTTTATATATAAAACCCTCAGTTATTAACCCTAAGTCATTGAGTCGAAATCCATTCCTTCCCCACTTCGAGTGTCATCCTTTATCTATTGAATTGATTAAATAAGCTTATTAAAGCATGTATCTATGTCCTAATTCTTTTTTATAAACCCAATTTAAGTTTCAAATTATTTAAGATTTCATTTTAATTGGTTGCTATTTAGGGTTTATTAGGTTAAAGGTTATAAAATTTAAATGTTGGAAACTGGTTGGTTTAGTAGATTGGTTTAGAATTTGAAATAGTCGTAGTAGTTTGACATGTGATTGGTGTATAACATTAAGTATATGAATATTCTCATAGATATGTCGAAATGCTTTTTGTAGCTTGGATAATTGGATATTAGATATTTAAATTTGCTTTTTTAGATCTTATTTAGGTATGCTTTGTTTTGATATTTTAATTAAAATAATTTCATTGACTTAGGGTGTGATGTTTGCATATTTTGCTTGCTTCTTTGCTTTTGAGGTTGTTCTTAAATTAAAATTTTATATGATATGTACATAATGCTCATAAGATGTGTACATAGTACTTATAAGATATATATATATATATATAGTGCTTATAAGAATTCATTTAGTGTAATAAAAGGTAGGTATTGAAGGTGTATAGGGTAGATGAACTCATTTGGGATATGTGCATAGCGCTTATAAGATATTACAAAATGCTTTTGGGACATGTATATTGTACTTATATAGGATATATAGCATTTTGGGACATGTATATTTTACTTATAGGATATATACATTTAGATGTATATACTTCTCATGATAAAGTCAAAATCCTAATTGATCAAGTTATATATTTAAGGTTAATTGGTTAAGTTTTTATAAAGTTTAATTTAGGGTTTTGGAGGTGAAATTTTGTTTAGGGTAAAATAATTTAAATGTAAATTATATCTTCTAATTTTGTAATTGATAAATAAAATCTTATGTGATATAAAATATGTAGGTATTGATACTGTTAGCTCAAAGTATTGAATAAATTAAGAGGGGTGAATTGGTCAATTAAAAATTTTAATAATTTGATTACCAAAGTAAACAATGATAGAAAAAAAATATAAATATCTAAGCAAATAAAGAAAATATATGCACAGCTAAATAATTTGGAAAAGTAAAAGAGTATAGATGGAGAATTAAACAAATGAAATTATAGAGTTTGATTTTTCCACAAGGTACATACGTTTTTTCCCATAGCTTCACTTGCCAAAGAGCCCAATCTATTATATATGTTGACTTTTACAACAAGGCCTTCCAAAACTATTAATACAATTAATTAATAAACCTCTCAATGATTTTTCTAAGTTCCTTAAAGAATCACTCAAGGGTTGTACTCTCCCTCAAGCGTACAATCTTTGGGCTAAACACAAGTATTTTACAAACTTAAAAACTCTTTAAGATTAGGTATTTGCTAATTTGAAGTACAAATAGACTTGGCAATCTAAAACATGACATGGTAACACAACATGAACATAATACGAATATAAGACACAAAGGTGACATAACTTAAAATTTTAGCAATAACTATATCTAGGTTTAACAAATTAAAAAAATGTATTTTTTGTTTTTGTATCAACATGAATTGTGACATATAATTTTAGTATAAAACATGGCATGAATACATAAATTTTAGTATTTTACAAGACACGAATACACAAATTGCCAAATCTAAGTACAAATAAAATATTAAAATAATATTAAGAGGATTTGGATACAAAATATGAAGTTATGCTCTTAGACACTTCAATTACTCTTTTAATGCTTGAAGAAGATAAAGAATGGATAATAATCAATTCTTTTAGCTCTTTATGCTTTATAATATGATGGGAGACCTTTTAATATAGTTAGAAATGAGAAAAGAGCTTCTACCTTTATTTAATGCATTTAATGCTCTGTAAAAAAAAAAAAAAGAAAATATGACCATTTGAAGCTGTTAAAGCTAAACCAATCGATTCATTTTTGAAAGGATAGATCAATTTTGGCCTTTTAAGCCAAAACATGCTTCTAGAAAAATAACCAATCAATCCATTTTAGTGATGGATTATTTCATTTTTGTCAAGTTTGAATCAATGGTGTTTCTGTAAGAAAAATTGATCGATCTCTATCGTAATAATCGATCCATTTTGCCAGTTTCAAATTTGAAACTTTTTTTGTAAGAAAAACCGATCATCCATTTTATAATGGATTGATTCATTTTTACCATTTTTAAATAAAAGACCATTTTGTAAGAAATATTGATCAATCGCATTTTAAATGGATCAACCTCTTTTAGGTTTTAAACAATATTTTTAGTTTTTGTCTAAAAAGGATCAATCTGTTCACAAAGGGATCAATCTTTTTTTTTTTTTAATTTTGTATAAAACATATCTTTAATGGAGAAAGATGTTTGTTTTGGTCTCAAGTAATTTTTCATTCAAAAATGCTATCGGTAAAATTTCTCTTTTTGAGTTCAAAGCAATTTAACCCAATTTTTAACCTTAGTATTTTATGATTTCAATAAGTATCAATTTAAGGCTAACAATCTTCCCCCTTTTTTATATGACAAAACTTAAGATAAATTTGTTTTAAAAAGCTCATATTTAATCAATTATGAATTTTGAAAATCAATTTTAAAAAATTTCTTCTATTTTCAAAGTAACTTTTCAATATAAGTTCCTCTTAAATATAAACACAATTTTCAATTTTGAATCAATTTAACTAAGGACATTTTTCACAATATTCACTACATAAATAGAAGTATACTTAACAAATTCATCACATTTTTAACACAATAATCACTTTAACATGCAAATTTTGTCCATTAAAATATTTCTCCATTTTATAGCAAAATAAAAAGAAATCAATTCAAATCAAAGATAATATGAAAAGCATATATGTGGCTAAGCACATGCAATCCCATCATTCACAAGTTTCCAACAAATTCCATCATTTTTGGTCATAGCAGAAAGGTTTAACTCAAGATATACAAATAGTAGATATCTAATTTTATAATAGAAATATGTCTCACTTCAAGCATACAAAAATCATGACATGTATGAGCAATAAATGTATAAAGGAAATGCAATTTCACAAGTCATGTCATTACAAAAATATGGTTGATATTAAAAGCATGAAACCTATCTAGATTGTGTTTTTATATAATCAAGGACACCAAGTCAAGCTCATGCAAGACATCAATTAAGGGTCATACCTATGTAATGTCCACAATTTGCAAGATTAACTTAATACATCTTAAAGAAAAGTATATATAGTACAATAAAAGTATCAACACATAAGACATGTCAAGTAGAAATTTAGTACAATCACACAATTAACCATAAATTTAGCTACAAAATGGTGAAAGTCATGCCATTGATTATAAAGCATGCAAGGTGCAAAATTAAGAGTTATAAAAAATTTATCCAAATGAAAAAATTAAATGCTTAAAATAAGTTCATATGTAGGAAACCTAAGTTAGTTAGACAGAAAAGTAGATCACAAAAGAGGGAAAAA